CACTTCTCCTGTCAGCTGTCGTGAAGCAGACATCTTTCTACAAATTGTGGCAAATGTTTAAGAAAGTAAATATTAGCAAATGGGAATAAATTGTTTTGATATGTTACCTCAATTGGAAAATACTTTAAAATAAATTCGGTGTAAAATATACTGTAGGGTAGCTCAGCTTTTTCTAAAATAGTTTCCTAAACATATTTACTGAAATGGCAGTTCTCAGGGGGCACTGATAAGTGATCGTAAAGAAAAGGGGGCCTGCGGCTGGATGGGCTGGGAAAGGGCTGAGTTAACACAAGCTCAGCCAGGCCTGCCAGCCTCGCAGTGCTGCTGTGCTCTGGGCTTCCCTGGGTGGCACTGTGCCTGCGAGCCGTCTTCCTGAGACCGATGAGCCTCGCTGGATCAGTTATTTGTAGAAGTTGTTTAGATCAGGATTATAAAGAATGCATATGTACAGTAAGCATTTTATCTTAAAATGGATGAATATTTTTATTTAATGAGATTTTGACAGAGTCAAGGCTTTTGTTCAGAATGTGGGTTTTTGATTGGAGATCCATTCATCGTTCTTTTTTTTTTTTTTTTAAGGATTTTTTTAAAAAATATATTTTATTGATTTTTTACAGAGAGGAAGGGAGAGAGATAGAGAGCTAGAAATGTCGATGAGAGAGAAACATCGACCAATTGCCTCTTGCACACCCCCTACCGGGGATGTGCCCGCAACCAATGTACATGCCCTTGACCGGAATCGAACCTGGGACCTTTCAGTCCGCAGACCGACGCTCTACCACTGAGCCAAACCGGCTTCGGCCATTCATCGTTCTTGTATAAACCATCCCCACAGGGCACCTCCATGAACATGCCCTCTGACCTGGGCAAGCATGTACACACCTTGGAAGCAGTCTGAGTGGAAAGCAATTTCCATTTGCTCACTCTCTTTTCTCATGTTGTACACTGATCTCCTCTGTAGTTGAATCAGGAGTGTTTTTTTGTATTTTGGTTCCCTTTCTTTTTAAATATATTTTATTGATTTTTTACAGAGAAAGAGAGAGGGTTAGAGAGCTAGAAACATTGATGAGAGAGAAACATTGATCAACTGCCTTCTGCACACCTCCTATTAGGGATGTGCTGGCAACCAAGGTACATGCCCTTTACTGGAATTGAACCTGGGACCTTTCAGTCTGGAGGCTGATGCTCTATCCACTGAGCCAAACCGGTTAGGGCTGGGTCCCTTTCTTTTCTTTTTTAATTTAATAAATCTTTATTGTTCAGATTATTACAATTGTTTCTCCTTTTTTTACTCCCCATAGCTCCCCTCCACCCGGTCCCTACTCCACCCTATGCCCTTACCTCCCCCCGCTGTCCTCATCTATAGGTGTATGATTTTTGTCCAGTCTCTTCCCATACCCAGACTCAGACACCCCTTTCCCCCTGAGAATTATCAATCCCCTTCCATTTTATGTCCCTGATTCTATTATATTCACCAGTTTATTCTGTTCCTCAGATTTTTAATTCACTTGACTTCTAGATTCACTTATTGATAGATACATATTTGTTGTTCATAATTTTTATCTTTACTTTTTTCTTCTTTTTCCTCTTTTTAAAGAACACCTTTTAGCATTTCATATAATACTTGTTTGGTGATGATGAACTCCTTTAGCTTTTCTGTGAAGCTTTTTTTTTTTTTTAAATATATTTTAATTTTTAAAATTGTTTTTTTAAAAAAATATATTTTATTGATTTTTCACAGAGAGGAAGGGAGAGATTTAGAGAGCTAGAAACATCGATGAGAGAGAAACACCGACCAGTTGCCTCTTGCACACCCCCTCCACCGGGGATGTGCCCGCAACCAACGTACATGTCCCTGACCGGAATTGAACCTGGGACCTTTCAGTCCGCAGACCGATGCTCTACCACTGAGCCAAACCAGTTTCGGCTGATCTGTGAAGCTTTTTATCTCTCCTTCAATTCTGAATGATAGCTTTGCTGGGTAGAGTAATCTTGATTGTAGGTTCTTGCTATTCATCACTTTGAATATTTTTTGCCACTCCTGTCTGGCCTGCATAGTTTCTGTTGAGAAATCAGCTGATAATCGTATGGGTGCTCCTTGTAGATAGCTAACTGTTTTTCTTTTGTTGCTTGTAAGATTCTCTCTTTGTCTTTTGCTCTTGGCACTTTAATTATGATGTGTCTTGGTGTGGTCCTCTTTGGATCCCTTTTGTTTGGGGTTCTGTGTGCTTCCTGGACTTTAAGTCTATTTCTTTCACCAGGTGGGGGAAGTTTTTGGTCATTATTTCTTCAAATAGGTTTTCAGTGCCTTGCTCTCTCTCTTTTTCTAGCGCCCCCCCCCCCCCCCCCCCTTCGTAATTCTGATGTTGGTACACTTGAAGTTGTCCCAGAGGCTTCTTACACTATCTTCAACTTTCTGGATCCTCTTCTCTTCTTGCTTCTCTGGAGAAGTGTCCTTTGCCTCTTTGTATTCCAAATCTTTGACTTGATTCTTGCATTCTTCTAGTCTGCTGTTGGGTCTCTGTATAATATTTTTTATTTCAGTCAGTGTATGCTTAATTTCTAGTTGGTCCTTTTCCATTTCCTCAAGGGTCTCTTTCAAATCCTTGAGGGTCTCGCTAAATTTATTGGCCTTTTCTAGGAAATTCTTGAAAAACCTTATAGGTTTTGAACTCTATGTCCAGTCATTTCTTATCCTCCATTTCTTTCATTTGTGATCTGTTTCCTTGTCTCCTCATTTTCGCTGCTTCCCTGAGTTGGTAGGGTAGCTTTGTGTGCTTGGTGTCCTATATGGTTCAATGGGTCAGCCTCCCAGTTACCTGATGTGGACACTCTTGGTGCACTCCTTTGTGGACTGTGTGTACAGCCTTGTTGTAGTTAAGTCTTGATTGCTGTTGGTGTCACTGGGAGGAATTGACCTCCAGGCCAATTGGCTGTGAGGACCTGCTGTGTCTATAATGGAATAATTGCTGTGCTGGAGACATGTTTATGGGGCAGGACTTGTTCCAGTAGGGCTTTGTGCTCACTGAGTCTGCCTCTTGAATGTGTCCCTTATGAGAGGAGTTGAAATCTGGTGTCGTCTCACACTGACCACTAGATACACTAGCTTCTGGGTCTCCAATGGGGTACAGGTCAGTTACTGTCTAGGCCATCCAGCAGGAACTACAGTTTTCTTCTCTTTGCTTGGGACTTGGCGGGTTTGGAGCTGCAGTTTATTTCTTTAAGCTGCCACAGTGCAGGCCATTTATATGCAAAAGCGCTGTGTGGAGCCTGGGCGAGTTTGTAGAATGTGCGGGGTGAGGCCTTAGGGCGGGGCATGGTGGGGTCTCCGGGTGTCACTAAGCAATGGCTGCCAGCAGCTGTCTCTGCCTTTCTGCGTGTCCAAGTCCCCGCGTCCTGGTGCTCCAATGCAGTAAACAATGATTGCTGCACGCACCTCTGCAAAAGAGTCACCCTCACTTTGGGACCCACTGGCCGACAGACCAGCTTCTCCCCGTAGATGTCTGTATACCCCGCGTGTCCCCAGAAACTGGATTTCAAAGTGATGGGGAGCTTGTTTCCCTTCAGGTTAAAAAAAAGCTGTGTGCCCAGTTGCTCGCCACCAGCCCGAGTTGTGTGCCTCTGTACCTCAGCTTTTCAGCGCTTGTGCTCCTTTCTCTTTCCTTCTAGTTGTAAGACTTCCATTCAGCCAGCTTTCCTGTGGTTCTGGGTGATGACGTTTTGTCTTTTAGTTATAGTTTTGAAATCGTTGTGCGAGGTGGCAGATTAGTTGTTTACCTTTGCTGCCATCTTGGTTTCTCTCTGGGTCCCTTTCTTTAGCAAATCCTTTAAATTAAGTCTTTCTAAATTGTTTGCTTAGATTTTCTTAAAACAGTTTTTTTCTTCATGTTCATAATGGCTGAAATAATACAGGATTAAGTTATATGATTATAATAACAGAAACAAATGGTATAAATAAGTTTTAGAACTAACACAGTTTTAAAAAAGACAAATACAGTTGACTCTTTTTTAACTTTCTTTAAAAAAAATATGTTTTTATTGATTTGAGATAGAGAGCGAGGAAAAAAACATCAGTGTGAGAGAGAAACATTTATTGATTGCTTCTCATGCACACTTCAGTTGTGGATCAAACCCACTACCTGGATGTGTGCCCAGACCAGGAATCGAATAGGTGCCCTTTCAGTGCACATGGTGATGCTTAACTAACTGAGCCACCAGCCAGGGCTAGAGTTGACTCTTTGCAAGCGTTAATTCTGGCGGTGGTAGAAACTGTGCTTAGATGTTCGTGCAGTGGCCTGCTGGCCGCGGGGTCACAGTGTGCGCTGGGGATGGGTGGGCAGGCTCTACAGAGAGAAGGCAAACTGTTCATTCTCTGCAGCTAGCAGAAGTCTGGGAAGAGACTGCATTCCATCCATGGACTGCCAACCTTTTCTGAGCATGGAAACCACTATACCGCAGAGCATCTCTAGACCAGCGGTTTTAACCTGTGTGCCGCAGAATGTTTAAAACCTGCAGTTCCTGCCTATTGAGTCAGGGGCACTGACCTCTTTTCCCTCAGATTGTCAGATAAAAATTGACAATAGCCCACCAACAATAGCCATCCGGTGTGAGTGATTTAAAATTGTAACCTATTTTTTTTTAATATTTTGTGTGTGCCACACCGAATCTTAGTAATTAGTTTGTGTGCCATGAGATGAAAATAGCTGCTCTAGACTAATAGTATACATGGGGAAAGTCTGATGTAGCTATAAGGCTGTTCTAGAAGAGAGGAGTCAGATGTTGTCTGCTTTAATTACACTTTTTTATGATAACTTTAAAACCATGAAAGTAATCTAATTAAAAACATAAAGTGGTATATGTTCAGGTCCTCATTTGGGTGGAATCTTGCAGATGACAATACCAATTTTGTTTTTTGAAAATAGTGTCGGACTAGGCACCTAAGAAATCTAAGTAGCTCTGGATTGAGCATAGTCCCGAGTCCTTTCCATGTCTGTTTTCAGACGATCTGTGGGTGGTCTCCAAAACCTTGGACTTCCAGCTGGACACGTTCATTGCCTGCAGCGCTTTCTTCGGACCCTCGTCCGCCAATGAGGTGGAGCTGCTTCCTCTGAAAGGCTACTTCCCCTCCCGGTGGCCCACAGACAGTGAGTATGGCCACGCCTCGTTTACCAGAGAGGACAGGCGTGAGGCGCTGCGAGCTGGAGTGCTCATCGTGGGGTTCTTTGATTAGAGCTGAGAAAAAGCACCCACTTCTGCCTCCTGTATTGTGTCCCTAGAAACGTGTGTGACAGGTGACGCTGTAAATGTTCCTGCAGTTCAAGCCCCAGAGTGCTATCAACGCCCAAACCCCCTGACCCTCGCTGAGGTACTTTGTTGAGGTTGCATTTACAGGGTATATACCTGATTTTTATTTTTTTATTTTTTATTTTTTATTTATTTATTTTTAAATATATTTTATTGATTTTGTTCAGAGAGGAAGGGAGAGAGAGAGAGAGTTAGAAACATCGATGAGAGAGAATCATCGATCAGCTGCCTCTTGCACACCCCCCACTGGGGATGTGCCTGCAACAAGGTACATGCCCTTGACCGGAATCAAACCCGGGACCTTTCAGTCCGCAGGCCGACGCTCTATCCACTGAGCCAAACCAGTCCCGGCATATACCTGATTTTTAAATAAGAATTTTGTCAAATAATTTCTTGTATTTTAAGTTTTATTCTCTTGGTATACTTAATTTCCTTGGTTCCTTATTCTAGTCAGGCACATTATAAACAAATAATTTACTTTCACATCGGAAGTAGTCTTCAGATTTTGCAAGGAATTTGGAGAGCAGGTGAGTGGAGGGTGTTTTATGTGGAGGGATGTTGCCTTTAGCCCTGGGAGCTCCTGGTGAGGCCGGGCCATCAGCCGCATTCACTGGAGGGCCAGTGCCACCGTTGGTGAACCTGGGTCTCCCGCATTGGCAGCTCTGGGATTTCTGACGTCCAGGATTTGGCCCATGACTAATTAAAGACATAACATTTAGTGACTCATTCACGTATTTCATATAAGTTTTAACTTGTGTGTGTGTGAGAGAGTGTGTGTGAATCCTCACCCGAGGAGAGAATGGAAGGGGGGATGGAAAGTGAGAGAGAAACATCAATGTGAGGGGACACATCGATTGGTTGCAGCCTGCACCCACCCCACTGGGATGTGATGGAACCTGCAACCCAGGTACATGCCCTTGCCTGGGAATGGAACCCAAGATGCTCTGGTGCGCAGGCACTAAGCTGTCGGCCAGGCTAACTCCATATTTCCTGTGGGAACGGAGTGGACAGCTGGAGTTGTCTAGTGAAGTGAACATCGGTCACTTCAGAGTCCTTAGCAATCTCACTAATTTCCTGCTTCCCATATCGCTCTATGAAGTAACTGAAGAAATGCAGCCAAGTGCTCAGAAATGACACAGATGCTGCAGGGACAGGGCGGGATGCTGAGTAGCTACGCATGTCAACCATGTGACTCCACAGTATCTGTTCGTCTGTCCATCGACTGCTGTGTGTGGCCCGCGCCCCTCAGGGTACAGTCACAGACCCACCCACAGTGTGCCTGTGCAGACGGCAGCACGGAGCGCGTGTGCCGAGGGCTTGCTGCAGCCTGGGACTGGTTTAGCACGGCTCTGAGCTGCGTGGACACTGAGGTGCTGACGGTCTTGTTGTGTGCACTGACGCCCCTCTCCACGCCCTCTCCGCAGCAGTCGTCCATGCGCTGTGGGTCTGCAACGCCAGCACCGAGCTGACCACCCTGAGAAACATGCGGGAGCACTTCAACCCCTCGACCCTGCCTCTGACACAGCACCTGTTGGCCATGTAAGTTCTTCCTGGGGGCGTGGGTCTCCAGGAAAAGTACATCCCGTACATTTGGCAACAAAATGTCATCGTCTCTCCGAGACTACTGGTGTGAGAGGACTGCGGGAGGCACACACTGTTCCCATCACCATCCGTTCCTCTAGCCCCGTTTTGGTTGGGCTAATAGAGGCCACTGCAAATTATTTTCCCATGTCAGGATAACTTCTTAAGATCATTTGAGTATTTTTTTTTATTCTTGTGTATTTTTATTCCATAAATTATGTAACATTTAAAAGAATAATTTTACATTATCAAAGTATCATATTACACACCTTAAATTTATTTACTATGTTATATGTCAGATTTATTCAATTAAAAATCTTTTTTATGCTGAAACCGATTTGGCTCAGCGGTAGAGCGTCTGTCTGCGGACTGAAAGGTCCCGGGTTCGATTCCAGTCAAGGGCATGTACGTTGGTTGTGGGGCATGTGCAAGAGGCAGCTGGTCAATGTTTCTCTCTCATCGACGTTTCTAGCTCTCTATCTCTCTCCCTCCCTCTCTGTAAAAAAATCAATAAAATATATTTTTAAAAAAATCTTTTATAATATATATATATATATATTATCAGAGAGGAGATGGAGGTGGGAGAGAGAGAGAAACATCAATGATGAGAGAGAAACATAGATTGGCTGCCTTCTGCACGCCCCACACTAGGTATGAGCCCACAACCAGGGCCTGTGCCCTGACCCGGAATCGACTCAACCACTGAGCTACACCAGCTGGACTAAACTTTTAAATAATTATTTACAGTTTGAATCTAGCATGTACATTGGTACTAGTTTTGTCTTTGACATAATCTTTATCTCATTTTTAATTTCTCAAGTATCATGCCTTTAAAAAAATGGGAAGTGATATTAAATTACTTAAAGTGACAAAACTAGTTTTGAATTTGGAATGTGATCGTCTATTTGGTTTCATTCTTCTTACCACAGTGATGTCTTGGGTTTAAAAAAAATCCATGTACTTTTAATATTTTATTTTTCTGCTTTGAAATGAACTCTGTCTTTATAGTACTAAAGCCAACTAATTTCTGACAGTTTTACTTGAAGGAGAGGCTGTATGAATTTCTGAGCCAGCCTGCATAATGAAGCCTGGGCTCCATGTCAGCACACCACGTGGTAGCTGGTACTTGTGGCAAGAAACATTTACTATTTGTGTCTCTCTATTTGGGTAGATTAACTGCTTCCTAGTGTTGTGAAGATCCCATAGTGTCTGCACGTAGTAGGTATTCAATAAATGTTCGCTTTTTTCTCTTTTGTGCTCACAAAAGGACGTTCTCTGAGGTGCTGGTAAAGTGAAAGTTAAGTTATAAAGAGTGTCAAAAGCCCCTCCTTTTTCCTTGATTTTATTGCTCCTTTTTACTAGGCCTTCGTCAACCACAGTTAGCAGTAAGAGAGTGGATAAAAGAACATTTGTCCCACCAGCCTTCTCCAACACCAAGACAAACTGTGAGCTGCCCAGCCCAGGAGCAGCCCTGCAGCTAGCCAGGGAGTTCATCCAGGCACACCAGTTGAACGAGGACCAAGCTTCAGCTCTCACCCAGATAGCAGGCATGGTGGCATCGCGCGGGCCTGCCGAGGAAGGGAAGGGGCTGCCCGCCAGCACCCTGCCCATCACCATCATCCACGGTAAGGGTCAGTGGAGGGTGCCAGGCAATACCTGGCTGTGTGGAACCCCCTGCAACCAGCACTTGATCATATATAAGTCTCTGTGACTTGGTCTGCTCCTTTGCCCCTTCCTAGTCAAATGCGATCCCAAAGGTCTCTAAGAGATGTTTGGACCCACTTTAGAAGTTGCCAGAGCAGCGTGGGCATGAGTAGTGCTGCGCCCATCACTGGCGTATTCAGGTTTGACCCAGACATCGGCCTAGAGCGGTCACAGCGATGCCAGCGTGTGGCTGTCATGGGGGGCATCAGTTTTGACGAGCAAAGCCATTATGAACTCCTAGTCAGCTCACTCCCCATCCTCCCAGCAGCTGTCCCAAATCTTCCTCCGTCCTGGCCATGCTGGCCCCTGCCCCAGCCCTGAGACAGGGTGTGCAGCTCAAAGCAGACTCCTCCGCACCTACCTTTGCCCTATTCTTATCTCTGGGCTTCGTCTCCATGAGGAGTTTGACTTTTTCTGCCGCAGAGATAACACTCCAGCTGGATTCTGTCCCCCCTCAACCCTTTCCTCTCAGACCTGCACCCCAAAGTGATCCCACTCTGTCCTGTTCTGAAGGTTTGTTTCACATCACCCTGTGGACCAAGCTGGACACTAGGTTTCCATCCTCAGTGAGTCTTTCTCTCGCTGATGAAGTGACTTTCTCTCAACCCTCCTTTCCGTTCATCCCTCCCCATCAGATGAGTCACTGAGATGTGTTGTTTCTGTCTTTTATGATGATTCCCATCAGGTCACCTGCACCCCTCAATCCAAGCCTTCACCTACCTCCACATTCCTAGTGAGTGAGACTGGGCCCTGGCGCTGGAATCCTGGACTCCGTCCCAGCTCCATCACCTATTAGTGCTGCGATCTTGGGCAGGTTACTCACCTCGTAGCTTTAATTCCTACTTTATTGTGTGGCTAGTTACACAGGTTAATAAGAGCTTCTGTCTCCTCGAGTTGAGGATTGACGTATTGACTTAGGTAAAGGCTTGGGTTCGTCCTGACGTGGGAGGCACCTGGTAAAGTGGGCATGTGTTATCATCATGATCCCCTCACACTGCTCTAATTGAGCTCATGGTCACTGGTGTCAATCCAACACCAACAGGAACCCCCACTCTGGGACGCGGTGGAGGAGACTTCCTTCAGGGAAAACAGCTCCATGGTGACAGCAGGGCTGTGAGGACAGTGACTCGGGGCAGCCCTAGCCAGCCCTCTGGCTCAGCAGCTCTGCTCTGCCCCCTGAGCCGTCCTGGCTCAGCCAGGGAGCCGCTGGTCAGTGCGGCTGGAAAGGGCAAGGGCTCCCAGAGCCAGAGGGGAGTGACTTCTGTGGAAAGAACCCCCACCCCTGGCCCCCAATTGCTTTGTTCTCATGCAAATGAGGACTCCAAATCCTCAAAGTGTGATTGGTCCAAAAGGCACTGCCCTGATTGGTCAGAATAGAGCCACACTGGTTGGTCAGAGCTGCTCAGCTCTGATTGGATGGGGAGAGCCTTAGTCCTATTGGTTGAAATCGGACGCCAGGAAGTGCTTTATAAGGGCTTGCTCCCTGAAGGGCAGTGCTTAGGAAAGCCCCTGTAGAAATGGCTGCAAAGCTTTTTTTTTCCCTTCCTTTTCTTTTATTGAACCAGTTAGCCGCCAGGAGCACTTCTTAGTAGCTGTTTTCTTTCTCAGGATTCACACTTCATATCTCCACTCAACTAGTTTTACCTAAACACTAAGTAAGTCAGTTTCCTGCTTAAGATGCTTCAGGGACTCCCCAGTCTTCAGTACAAAATTTATTTTTACCCACAGCAAGCAGAGCTCTGGGACTTGCCCCTCACCTCCCTCTCAGCCTCGCCTCTGGCCTGTGAGCTTCTCCAGCCTCTGCTGGAAGGACCTTGGCTTCCGGGGTTTGTGTGTCCTACTCCGGGCGACTCAGTTCTGCATGTTTGTGGGAAGCGTTCCCATCTCCGCCAGATTAGAAAGGTGTTCCTGCTCTGATGCAGTCACGGTGTTACCTCCCAGGTTACTACTTTTTATTAAACACATGGGACAACACTCAGAGCATGACATAAGGTTCAGGTGTACAGGTTGTCACTTGACATCTGTGTGCCGAGTCCAGTTTCCTCCCATCACACTCATCTGACCCCTCTGGCCACTTCTTCCCCCACATGTCATGTCATTACTGTTCCTTCCCTGGCTGTCTTCCTAAGTACACTGTGGTCTCACTAAGAGGCCTTTGGATTACTCATCTGTTTATCCTGGTGCTGAGCACTAATCTACAATATATCCATATATGATTTAAATATTATAATCCCTTTTATTATTATCTTAAAATATCAATTAGATTTAGACTAGTTTTTGCATAGAAAATTTTTGGTTGAGATCACAGAATTAATCCTCTTTTTTAATTTGACCAATAATAAGCAACTTATTTTGAATTCTTAATTATTGGAGAAAATACATTTTAACTATATAATTTTCTCCCCATTTAATTTGCACTTTGAACTTTTAAAGCTCGCAAGTCAAATATATTTTGCATTTCCTAGATTAATAACACTTTATATTTCTAAGAAAAATACAAGACATAATCAATTTAGAGTTTCAATTCTGTCCTCTAGATTTTTTCTGAGGCAAATTTAAACTCTACTTTTTTATTTATATTATTAAGTTTATGGTTTTTAAAAATATATATTTTATTGATTTTTTTTTTACAGAGAGGAAGAGAGAGTGATAGAGAGTTAGAAACATTGATAAGAGAGAAGCATCGATCAGTTGCCTCTTGCACACCCCCTACTGGCTCTGATTGGATAGGGAGAGCCTCAATCCTATTGGTTGAAATGGGACTGAGGGTGTGCCTGCAACCAAGGTACATGCCCTTGACCAGAGTTGAACCTGGGACTTTTCAATCCCAAGGCCGATGCTCTATCCATTGAGCCAAACTGGTTTCAGCTGTTCATGTTTTTCTTAATGAATTAGTTAAATGAAGGAGAGGGAGATGGGGACATTATTTCTTGTGCTTTCAAAAATTACTTATGATTCTGCCTTTATTTTCCTCTTCCTTCCAAACAAGTAGGAGTTTTTGGAGCAGGAAAGAGCTACTTGCTGGCAGTGGTGATTCTGTTTTTGGTGCAGCTGTTTGAAAAGAGTGACGCTCCCACCGTGGGAAGTGCACAGCCGTGGAAAGTGCTGATTTCTTCTTCCACTAACGTAGCTGTGGACAGAGTGCTCCTCGGGTGGGTATGTCAAGTGAGCGTGAGGAGCTGGTGGTGGAGGTCTGTTGTTGAGAGGGGCCATCTACCTTGGGCCCAGATGTGATACCTCTGTCTCTGACTTGAGCCATATCCATGAGATAGTAACAGGCTACTTGCTCGTTTGTAAGTCGTAGGAAATCAGATTTAAGACCTGACAGCCGTGGCACAAGGATAGGCTGTCCGCCCGTGACAAAAGTTGAATATAGCAGGAAGCACATGGGCTGAGAGATGGACTCGGGGCCCTGATCTCCTAACCCCAGATAGGCCTCTGCTCAGGGTCGTGGCAGCCGCCCACAGAGGAGCTGGAGCCTTCCTCCAGGACAGAGAGTCTGCCCACTGCTTGTCACATCTAAACTCCTGGGTCCCCACGCTCCTGTTCCTCTGGCCGCCCAGGCTGTTGCATGTGCGGGCTCCCTTTGGACGACTCGGAGGCCGTGCCTGTGCCGTGGGGTCTATGCCCGGAAGGAGCTGAAGTGCAGGTGCAGGAACTGCACAGTGCAGAGGTGAACAGCTTGAGTTGCGCCTCTGACTCAGTGAGAGGCTCTGAGGAAGCAATAGCACGGCCTGTTATGCAAAGTGCTTGTGGTTGTTTAAGATTCTATTGCAAACCCAAACAAAGATTACATACGCATTCACCCATGTTTAATGATCTGAATTTCAACATAAATGAAAAATTTGATTAGGAGAAATCTTTATGTATAAACTAGAGGCCCGGTGCATGAAATTTGTGCATGGGGTGGGGGTGGGGGTGTCCCGCAGCCCAGCCTGCACCCTCTCCAATCTGGGACCCCTTGAGGGATGTTAAAATGGGCAGTCGGACATCTCTCTCACAATTCATGATTGCTGGCTCCCAAACTGCTCACCTGCCTGCCTTCCTGATTGCCTCTAACCGCTTCTGCCTGCCAGCCTGATAACCCCCTAATCACTCCCATGCCAGCCTGATCGACACCTAACTGCTCCCCTGCCAGCCTGTTTGCCCCCAACTTCCTTCCTCTGCCAGCCTGGCCACCTCTAACTGCCCTCCCCTATAGGGTTGATTGCCTCCAACTGCCTTCCCTTGTAGACCTGGTCCCTCTCAACTGCCCTCCCTTGCAGGCTAGGTGCCTCCCAACTGCCCTCCTCTGCTGGCCACCTTGTGTCCACATGGGGGCAGCCATATTGTATGTTACTCTTGTTGAACAGGATAGAGGCCTGGTACGTGGATGGAGGTCAGTTGGTTTGCCCTGAAGGGTGTCCCAGATCAGGGTGGGGGTTCCCTCGGGGCATGGGATTGCCTGGGCGAGGGGCCTGTGGTGGTTTGCAGGCCAGCCACGCCCCCTGGCGACCCAAGCCGAGGCCCTGATATCTGGAATTTATTTACCTTCTACAATTGAAACTGTAGCCTGGAGCGGAGCCAAACCTGCTCGCTCCAGCTGCTGCCATTTTGTTTGGTTTTATGTATCTTTTATAATTAAAACTTTGTATCCTTGAGTCGAGGCCTAGGCTGGCCAGGGTGTGTGGAAAGCTTGGCTTCTGTTACCAGGGAAACCCAAGCCTCTCAACTGCTCTCTGTGGCTGTAGCCATATTGGTTGGGGTTAATTTGCATACTCACTCTGATTGGCTGGTGGGTGTGGCTTGAGCAGAGTGGTGGTTAATTTGCATATCATTCTTTTATTAGGTAGGATGTAGACTTAAAAAAACTCAACTTTATGGTGAAAATATACCATCTGTACAGATATTATATTTCTTCACAAATGTTTTATACATATACTTTGTTTTCCAACTTGGTATGATCAGTATATGTTTGTGTCTTGCTTTTAATTCTTAGAAAACATACTTTTGATAGCTCTAGTATATGCAGTGATTTGCTTATATCACACTTTAAGTCAGCCCTTCTTTCCAAGTGTTCCCCATCCTCCTATATAATAAAGAGGTAATGTGCAAATTGACTGTCACAAGATGGCCAGCATGGAAGGGCAGTTGTAGGCAACCAGGCTGGCAGAGGAGGGCAGTTAGGGGCAATTGGGCTGGCAGGGGAGCAGTTAGGTGTCGATCAGGCTGGCAGGGGAGTGGTTAGTAGGTGATCAGGCTGGCAGGCAAAAGTGGTTAGGGAAGTCAGGCAGGCAGGTAAGTGGTTGAGAGATAGCAGTCCTGGATTGTGAGAGGGATATCTGACTTCCCGTTTAGGCTCTGGCAGTCAGACATCCCTCAAGGGGTCCCAGATTGGAGAGGGTGTAGGCTGGGCTGAGGGATACACACCATGCACGAATTTTGTGCACTGGGCCTCTAGTTATACATATCATGGTGACAAAGATCCTCAAACATAAGTTTTTTTCTCCTATTCTGATTTTCTCTTTGGAAAAAGTCCTCAGCCTAGAATAAAAGATAGGAATATACTGTGTAAGCTTACACTTTATCCAGACTTTCTGAGTAAAGGTAAGAGTACATGTTTTAAGTCCTCTGTAGAATGTGTTATATTAAAACTTGTTCAGCCATATTGCATTCACATTGAGCTTAAGCATTTCACATTGACTACAAAACTAAAAGATGCTGTTACACCAACTAATTTTAATAAATATTACATGGAACTTTGTTTTGTACTCTGCTTTTTAAATAACCAGATTCTCTTTTACTGTTTTGTTTAAAGGCTTCTCAGTCTCGGATTTGAAAAGTTTGTCAGAGTGGGGTGTGTTAGGAAGATAGCCAAGCCGGTCCTACCTTACAGGTAAGAAATCATAATTCCAAAGTCACAGCGTGCTCACAGAAACACAGTCATTTTATATAACTCTTACCTTAAATGTCTTTTGAGGAAGAAGAGAGAGAGCTTTATCTTTTTCTTGGTTAACTTAGGAAATCTGTTTTTCACTTTTTTGTAATGTTTTGGAAATGGAATGAAGAAGGGTATTTTATTCTTTCTTAGCTTGCATGCTGGCTCAGAAAATGCCAGTGAGCAATTGAAGGAACTTCACGCACTGATGAAAGAAGACCTGACCCCCATGGAAAGAGTCTATGTGAGAAGAAGCATCGAGCAGCATAAACTGGGGACCAACAGGACCCTCTTGGGGCAGGTTAGGGAACTGCTGGGGGAGGAGGGGGTGGACATGACTACTGGGCGGAGGGGAGGGAACTGCTGCCTCACTTTGGTCTTGAGTTTACAGAAATCTCAGGTTCCTCGTATTCCTGCTGATGAAGGCCAGTGACCACATCCAATTAGAAAATTCATTGATTTTCCTCTTTTTTATATTTAAATCCAGAGATTAAGTATCAGCTTTTACTGGGCATTTTGCCTTGGGAATAATGGTATTCTGTGTAATGTCTAAGTCTGTGAGATGCAAATATACTTAGAACTTCCAGTGCGTGGAATGTTTTGTTGGAATTCCTTCTTAGCGAGTCAGGTTAGGGGTGTGCTTGACTGTGAGCAGGCCCGTCCGCCTGCGTGTCCAGTGCGTCCGCGGAGAACGCGGCTGTGCTGAGTGTTCAGCCTCAGCTGGAGGATGAAGTGTGTGTGGACCCTGACATGTAACACCCTGGATTGTAACAGATTCCCTGAGTGTCTGAGTGCCTGTGTCCTGCCAGTAGGCGGTGCTTTGGGAGCTGTGCCTGTTCCCATTTCTCAGGTGGCACAGAGGGCAGTGGACAGAGAGGCTGTGTCCCTGAGTGCAGGGATTCCCACCTGCAGTTCTGATCCCACCTGCAGGCTCTTTGGTAGATATGCCCTCTTGTTTTCTAAGTAGCTGCTGACGCTCACATCCCTGTGCCCAGGTCCGCGTGGTGGGCGCCACCTGCGCAGCCTGCCTGTTCCCCTGCATGGCCGGCCTGCGGTTCCCCGTGGTGGTGCTGGATGAGAGCAGCCAGATGACAGAGCCTGCCTCCCTCCTCCCCATCGCCAGGTAACCGCAGGCACGCTCAGCTCTGGTGGAAATCCTTGGCAATTCAAGTGCTACACTGATGTCTTAAAGAACCCCAGGGCGGGGGGGAGGGATTTGGAGGGCTAATGTACCAGTGTTTTGTTAGGGGCCATGTAGGCCCCCGGAGGATGGCCCTCGAGCAGGTGGCCCTGCACTTCCGGGCTGCTCACTGTGGAAGGTGCCTCTAGCCGCCATCTGAGGACCCAGCTCTAGGCTCTGCTTCAGTTACCTCCCTGCATCTCATTCCCCTGCTCAACTTCTAAAAATAGCTTTTAGATTATGAAAGGATATCAAGGAGATAAAAATAAATAAAAATGACAATTTGTCGTAAAATGTAGAAGACTGACATTTTCTAAGCTATCTCCGCCACTGAAACATGGTGCTTTTAAAGCACCTCTCACTCATGAATCCCGAGGTGGCGGGAGGAGGCCTGTCCCCAGGTGAAGGGGCGTTGGTCCCAGTTGTCGCACTTGGTCAGGATGGCAGGTTCCTATCCTGGACGGAGGAGGAGGAGGATTAGTCTCCCCGCCCAGGAGCCAGGGACAGAGGAGTCACTCTCTGGAGCACCCATTGCATACTGACACATTGTCCGTGTGCTTTATTACGTCCTCACCACGGCCATACAGGCATGGTCACATCCAGGTCACTGCTGAGTGCTCATGCTCACATAGATAACCTACGTGTTCATAGAGGGTCATAGAGCTGGGATGTGAACGTAGGTGTTTGAAATGGGGGTTCTCAGACCCAGTTCCTGGTGTGGGACGGGGGAGGGTTCCCCACCCCTCCAACAAGCAGCCCTCCGACATCAGCAGGGACCAAAACCTGCCCTCAGCTCTGACATGGTCACCCGCAGAGCCGCATGGTGAGGGCTGTCCTCCAGACCCACTTCCGACGCCAGGGCGAGGCCTAGGCTGCTGACCTACTGGGTGCAGACGGAGGTTCCAACTCAGTGCCGGTGCCAGGTCTAGGCTGGTACCTGGACTTCTGACAGACTGGCCATAAACCAGAGGTTCCCTTGATTTTCTTGGGTTCCATTAATTTGCCAGAGCATTTGCAGAACTTGGAGAAACATGTTATCTCCTGATCCCCAGTTCACCCTCTTTTGCCTCCCCACTCCTCACCCTCACCCCCAGCTCCAAACCCTCCTGTTCCCATGGAGGCTCATACCTGCATGTGATGGATTAGCTCGCTGACCACTGTTGAGCCAAGTCAGCTTTCTGGAGGTCGGGGGTTGGGGCTGGGACTGGAAGCCCCATCCCTCAATCCCAGAGTCCCTTGGCAACCAGCTCGCCTTGGGTGCTGTGCTGAGGTCGCCTTCTCCACAGAACAAAGGACCTGATCCCTTTCACCTCTTGGGAAACTCCAGGGTTTCCAGGGTGCGAGCAGGAATTGTGGGCGAGACCAAGTACGTACGGCAGACTGGTCATCTGAGTGACCACATACAGTTCTGGTGCTCACAAATCCTCAGGTTTTCCACCAAACACAGGCATCCCCCCTCCCTCGTCTCCCCACTTTGCTCCTATTTGGAAGGACATTAAGCCTGAGTGCCTAACATCTCCTTGCAGTAGTTTAAACTAGATTTTTCCCAGGACAAGCTCCTAAGTCTACAGTTATAAATTCTGAAGTCACTGTTTCTCAGAGTGCGTTCTGGGAAAGGCTGCTTCTGTGCAGAGGAGTGGACACTACGTAGGGCTTATGTGGGTTTCTTCACTCATCGCCTCGGGCCCTTGGAATACACTTCACACCACGAACAGAACAGTCCTCAGATTCTTTGAAATGCATTTTAGAAAACAGTATATGTCATGCTTTCTGTCGCTCCATTTAACTTTTGGATCTGTGTTTAGGTTTGAGTGTGAAAAGCTGGTTCTCGTTGGGGATCCCAAGCAGCTTCCCCCCACTATCCAGGGATCGGACGCGGCTCATGAAAACGGGTTGGAGCAAACTCTGTTTGATCGACTCTGCTTAATGGTAGGCACTGCCGCCAGTCTCACAGCATGATCACGTCCTGGTCTAACTGTGTAGGCTGGTAGGAAAGAAGACCGAGTCCTGTCCTAAAACAGTTGTGATTGGAGTCGTTTAGAAAGTGCTCATCTCGCCCAGCTGGCATAGCTCAGTGGTTGAGCGTCGACCTATGAACCAGGAGGTCAGGGTTCGATTCCTCGTCAGGACACAGGCCCGGGTTTCAGGCTTGATCCCCAGTGTGGGGCGTGCAGGAGGCAGCCGATCCATGATTCTCTCTCATCATTGATGCTTCTATCTCTCTCTTCCTCTCCCTTCCTCTCTGAAATCAATAAAAAGTTTTTAGAAATAAAAATAAAGCACTCATTCTAAAGAAAAGCAGAACCCCATAATTTAAGTGTTCCTTTATAAAATGAACCGTTTTTATGTATATTTTAGTAGTTGCAAGAAAGCATATTGCTTTTGCTCTAAAATAAAAATAAACACCTATGTTCTATTACCCATGCTCTGTTTTAGAGCTCTACTTCACATTAAAAATTTAACAAATGAATCATTTATCTATTTGTAACTGAGGTGACGTTCACATAACATAGAATTAGCCACGTTAACTTAGGTGGCATTCACTACATTCCCAGTCCTCTGTCTGATCCCAAACACATTCCCTCCCTCCTGCCCAGCCCCTTCAGTCTGCTCTGTCTGTGGGCTTGTCCACTCTGGGTGCTTCATGTTTCACGCTCACCACGCTCACACCAGGCAGCTTGAACCATGCACCTGTGACTTCCTGTGCCTGGCTTCCACTCAGCACGTCCTTGAGGCCCCTCCACATTGTAGCACACGTCGTACTGTTACATTATGGTCTCCTTATCCGAGGGGGTACCCCCCAAGTCCCCAGGGATGCCTGCCACTGCGATCCGAGCCCTACACACTCCGTGTTTTTTCCTGCACACATGCACCTTATGGCTCCGTGGCATATGCAGATTGCCAGCATGATCAATTGGTTGCTTCAAAAGTGCTTTGGGGCCATTATTAGGAAGTCGGGGTGACGTGAGCACAAGCCCCATGCACTGTGGCAGCCCATTGGGTAACAGGCTGAGTGACTCGTGGGCGGGTGGTGTCCGCAGGGGGACGCGCTGAGCGAAGGGCTGGTTCGTGGCGGGCGGGGCAGATCGGAGGTGAAGATTTCCTCACGCTGCTTGTTAGATCATGAGTCTCAGGTTTGACGTGTTTTATATTTTATGATTTTGTGGTATGGTAATCATTTACCACGAGAATACTTTTAGTAATTAAAAATTTTATTTACTGTCTACTCCAGTGGTCGGCAAACTCATTAGTCAACAGAGCCAAATATCAACAGTACAACGATTGAAATTTCTTTTGAGAGCAAAATTTTTTAAACTTATAATTCTTTTAATGCCACTTCTTCAAAATAGACTCACCCAGGCCGAAAACCAACTTCTGCGCATGGGCCACGAAGTTTCAATCGCGTGCCTATACGTGGTGTTTGTGGAAGAGCCACACTCAAGGGGCCAAAGAGCTGCATGTGGATTACGAGCCGCAGTTTGCCGACCAGTGGTCTACTCTATTATGGTTCTAATTCATTTAGTCAGAGCACAATAGGGCAATACTTTTAACTTTGAAAATATTATATTTTTTCCCTTAAGAAAAAGGTGCTGTTTTAAGTTTTTACTTTTCTTCATTTAAACTTCTTAGGGCCACAAGCCGGTCCTGCTGAGAACCCAGTACCGCTGCCACCCGGCCATCGCTGCTGTGGCTAACGACCTGTTCTACGGCGGTGGCCTCAGGAACGGCGTCTCGCCGGCCGAGAGGGGCCCGCTGCTCGCCTGGCTGCCCACGCTGTGCTTCTACAACGTCCCGGGGCAGGAGCAGGCGCGTGTGTCCGCGGGCCCGCAGCCCGCCCGTTGTCTGTGGTTGTGGTGTGACTGTCTCAGCCTTGCTTGCCTTTCTGGGAAATGTAATTTTGGGTCTGTTTTTCATTCCAGATGGAAGGAGGTAACAGCTTTCACAATGAGGCGGAAGCCGCTTTCACCCTGATGCTGATTCGCGCTCTGGTTGCAGGCGGAGTCCCAGGCACCATGATCGGGGTGATAACGCTGTACAAGTCCCAGCTGGGCAAGGTTTGCGTCCCATCCTGTACCAAACGTTCTCGTTTTCTATCGCAGTGTTTGACATTATATTTGTAAGAGTTTGACTTGGTGCTTGAAAATCTTTTGGGACCATAATGAATGCATTCAGAAAAAAGCATTCTGAGTTTTGGCTGTCTGGCTTTTTTCTGTATAATTAAATGTAAACCTAACAAGGTTTAATGAAATTCCATTTACAGCTGTTGGGGCAAAAATGCAAATAAACAAATTAGAGGGAAGGAAATGTGGTGTGTGCTTTGTGTTTTGAGAAGATGGGATTGGATCTGTTTCCCAAACTATCCCTCATTATTGGAAGGAAATGTGGCGTGTGCTTTGTGTTTTGAGAAGATGGGATTGGATCTCTGTTTCCCAAACTATCCCTACCTTTTACCAGTAAACAAAAGATAGATACCCGATATTCATGTATATATGAGTCCATTATTATAACATTTTTGTTAATTTTTAATTTTTTAGTACTTTCCATGTTTCATTATTTTATCAACCCAAAATTAGCATATATAAATGAGCTCCCTGCAACAGATAAATCATTATTCATTGTTTGATTTATGTTGTCATCTAGTTACGTACTTACTTTAGAACCAGGCAGATCCGTGGCGCCCCAGAAGACAGTGAACTTTCCACTCGGATTAAAACGTGCTGTGAGGGCTCGGCCGCTTCCCCACGGCTCCTACATGCGAGACCCGTCTCTCCCCACAGCTGTGCCAGCTGCTCGGGGCCGTGGACCTGGACCGCCCACACCTCGCGACCGTGCAGGTGTCCACCGTGGACGCCTTCCAGGGGGCCGAGAAGGAGGTGGTCGTGCTGTCCTGCGTGCGCACCAGGCAGGTGGGCTTCATCGACTCAGAGCAGCGCGTGAACGTGGCCCTGACCCGAGGGAGGCGGCACCTGCTGATCGTGGGACACCTGGCCTGCCTGCGGAGGAACCGGCTGTGGGGCCGCGCGATCCAGCACTGCCAAGGTAGGTGCTGCGCCTCCAGGGTGCTGGGACGGGTCACCTGAGCCCTTGGAGTGAAATCTGGCCTCGGGGTTGGAGCTTGACGGGTTTGGGGAGAGCAGCTCGCCTGCCTCGTGGGAGTGGCTGAGGCCGGGGCGGCTGTAACCTGCCTCACGCGTGCCTTGTAGGGAGAGAGGACGGACTGCAGCAGGCCAGCCAGTGTGAGCCGCAGCTGATGCGGCTCCTGGAGGAGCACGCCGCCGAGAAGCTCGCCGAAGAAAAGCAGAGGAAAGCCAGTGGGAGAGACAGACATCAAGATGCGTCTCGTTCGCAAACGAATGGGCCTGGAATAGGGCCTCTGTGTTAGGGGCACAGGCACCCTCACACTCACTGTTTCTATTACCCCAGACCCATTCTCAAAAAAGACTCGTGCTGTGTCAGTCACACCAGATAAATGCACATAAACTCTCTGCAAGAGTCCACATTACTTACACTGAGATAAGCTGTTGATGGTGACATAAAAGCTTATAATAAATATTTTTTTCTAAAAATTAAGAATTTGCTTAAAAAGTAGGTTTTACACTAGGGGCAGGGTCAGCCTTTATGGCTTTTCACTTGCTTCAAAAGTGAGCCAGTCTCTCAGCTCACCTGTGAGCGGGGCCCGGCTCTGCCGGCGCCTCCCGAGCCGTGGCTCCATCAGCTTGGGCCCGTCGCCTGCCACAGTAGCAAGCAGGGCTCTCGCTGAGGCCCACCTGCCCCGAGGAGAAGCATGGAGCTCACTGGTGGAGAGGCAGCGCCCAGGCCGGGCCGGGCGGCCCCTGGTGGACAGTGATGGAAGAACTGCCTGCCTTGGGCCTTTTCCTATGCGTTTATTTGCCCAATGCAATAGTTATTGGTGTATATATTAATAGTATATAATCGATTTTTTTTTAATATTATAAAAATTTAGAATTCACCTGCTTACAGAAAACCATTGCTAACTTAATGTCTCCATCCTTTTTCTATGCTATGTTCTATGTTTGTGTGTGTGAGAGTAAATTAAACAATTTGTCGTGATTTATTGTTTATGTTAATCCTCACCAGAGTATTAATTTCTCCATTGATTTTTAGAGAAAGGGGAAGGGAGACGGAGTGAGAGAAACAATGCAAGAGAGACCACGTTGGTTGGTTGCCTCCTGCATGCACCCTGACCAGGGCCAGGCATAGAGCCCAACTGAGATACGTGCCATTGACTGGAATCGAACCCAGTCCCGGAGCCAAACTGGCTAGAGCTATTATTTATTTATTTTCTGTTAATCTTCACCTAAGAATATGTTTTCCATTGGTTTTTAGGGAGAGTGGAAGGGAGGGGGAGAGACGAAAGAAACATGGATGTGAGAGAGACAGATCAATTGGTTGCTGCATGTACCCGACCAGGGCCGGGGACACAGCCTGTGACCCTTCAGTCTGCACGCCATCACAGGAAGCAGCCTGAGGGCCCCCTGGGAGTCCCTGGCCACACCTGACATCTCATGACACTCGAGCCCCTTCTCAGGTGCAGCTGGATGACAGAGTCCAGTCTGGTGACACCGGTGTGCTGGCATCAGTTCACCCACGGGCCTCCTTGCCCCAGTTTCCAAGAAGAGTGCTCTCTGCCGCGAGGGGAGGTGCTATGTCCTGTCCGACACCGGGCGGGAGAGCTCTGGGCAGCTGCCCTGGGCCTCCGCACCTCTGCCTCTGCCCACTAGATGCCATCGTACTTGCCCACGTTGTGATACCTAGAAATGTCCCAGACGTTGCCGAGTGTCCTGAGTAGCCGGGCCCAGCCTCCCACCTGTTTCCAGAGAGGCAGCTGCACCCAGAGGGCTTTGGCCCCACAGGGCAGGGGGCCTGTCCTCGGTTCCTGGCGCCTTGCGGGCGCCAGCTCTGAGCCGCACAATCGCCGGTGCGCAGGCGTGCGAGGGCCGCCTCCGCATAGGACGCCTGGCCTCCGAGAGCACTCTCGCTCCTCAGCGATGCTCCTGCCCAGAACAGGATGGTCCGATGTGGCGTGGAAAGGCTCGGTGGCGGACAGACTGTTTAGGCCTGGAGTGGCTCTGTCTTATGACAACTACTTTTCTATTTTTAGAATACGTACTTATTTTTTCTTTAAGGCAAAATCTTTTTTTTCTTTTTTGATAAGTTGATGTTCAGGTGTTGTTTTTTTCTTTTTACCCTTTGATCCCTTCCCTTCACCCATTTCTACCCCAGCCCTGGCAACCACCAGCCCGTTCTGTGTGTGTCTGTGCTTGTCTTGTTTTGCTAGTTATTGTTTTGGATTCCACACATAAGTGAGGCCAAACGGGTTTGTCTCCTCTGACTTACTTCACTTTATAATGCCCTCACGGTTCATCCATGTCGCAAATGGCAAGATTTCATTCTGTTTTATAGCTGAGTGATAGTCCGTTGTGTGTGTACAAATATGATGCAGATGCACATCTTAATTCACTCACCCATTGGCAGACACCTGGCCTACTCCGGCCAGGCTCCGGACCGGATGCTGCAGTGACATGGGCGTGAGCTGTGTGATTTATGGCGAGCGAGCTCTAGCGTACCAGTGTGCTAAGGCCTGATGGACAGGACAGCGTTGATGGCCAGGATCGCTCTGGGCTGCCATGCCGGCTGTGCTGGCCACATAGGCCCTGCAGGAGAGGCCGAGGCGAGTGTGTGGGTGAATGGGGGAGACAGAGAGGTTGGGGCCAGGCCTTCTCCTGGAGAGCGGAGGACAGCACTTTCCCGCTATAACCGATGAGGCCAAGGTCAGACATCGAAGCGAGACCCACCTGACCTGCCAGGAGAGCAGCTGGCAGCTCGCCCGCCACCTGCACCTGGAGGTGAGCATGCAGTGCCCCACGCCAGGCCTCCCACCGTTCCCTCACCACCAGCCTGTCTGTCCATCGTCCTCAGTTCCTGACCCCCCCCCCCCCCCCCCACTTCCTGCCATGGACTTCACTGGAGAAGCAGCATTATGACTTCCCTTCGGATGTGGTCAGGTCTGCGTTTTCTGTGAGAAGATCCGGTTTGCTAGTTATTGTGAGAAAAACTGATAACAAATGTGTTAGCTAAGCTGGCGATTCTTTTCACATCAACAGTCCATTGGGAAATAAGTTTCTCAGCTCAGCCAACTTCTCATGGACAGGCATTTCAGCTTTGGAGTTACTTGTGAAAAATCAGCTTACAGTCCGAGATGGAACCTAACCTCATAATAAAACGTAAGCTTGGGAGTTCATTGTCTGAGCAGAGGTTAGCTGGAGACCACAGCCGCCCTCTGCCGCCGGCGGAAGGCAGCTGCGAGCAGCTGGTGCTGACCCAATCTTCCCATTCAACACGAACTAAACGGAAATCGGCGGTTTACTTGACAGATATTGGATCCTGAAAATTAAATAACTGTTCTAAAAACGTTAGCTCACGCTGATTTGAGAAGCCTGCTTTGTAACTAGTCCTGAGTGAACTGTATTTGTGCTTTGGTTTAGGTCAGCTCGCCATCATTCTAAAGTGAAGGGGCACCACCCAGCGCCTCTGCCACCCCGAGCTCCTCTTGAAGCACGAGGGAGGCGGCGTCTGGAGCACCTCTCCTAATCTCTGATTCTCCGTGCGGGCCTTTCTGACCAGACAACGCTGGTCCTACTTCCCCAAGTGAAGGTGTGTGTGACTGTGTGTGTGTGTGTGTGTGACTGTGGGCCAACTATATGGTGACAGGTGATCTGACTGGGTGGAGGCACACCATGCAGTATACAGGGCATGTATCATAGACATGTTTACATAAGACTTACATAATTTTACTAACCAATGTCCCCCTAATCTAGTTAATTTTAAAAACAAACAAAAACGACTGCAATTGCATAGACCACTTCTGTTCCATCTCATTGTCAGAACTGGCTGCAGGACGGGAGCGGGAGGCACCCCACTGGCAGCTGGGCCCATCCTGTAGGGAAAGGGACGGCTCAACCTCGCTGTGTCCTCCGAGGGGCCCCATTCAGTCCTGTCAGGAGAAAACCATTTCCTGGGATGCTTTGGACTCGGGCGAGGTATTTCCATCATTTCAGGGCGTTCCCAGAGTGTGTGGACCCTGGGCCTGAGCATAGGAGTCTGCGAGGACATGGGGTCTCTGTGGCCACTGGTCACGGGAGGTACTTGTGACCTGTGTGCACTTAACGTTTCTGATCACGACTGAAAGTGGTGACTTAAAAGCCAGTAAGAAGGAAACAGGGTATGTACGTCCTTTGTTGACACTTGATGACAGCCAGTGACACTAGATTTCTCAGCATCTGACAGCAAAGCGCTGGCGGCCGCCACACCATGCCGTGACGTGCGGGGCCCAGCCATGAGTGTCTCAGATATTTAGAACAGATGTGCCTGCGTGTGTGTATGACCTACCCCTTGAGGTCATATCCGTTTGGATGGAATTGCCTTCATACGAAGTGTGTTTGTGTTCATGTGCGTTTTGTTGGTGTTCGTGGCTGCCCGAGAGAGAGGCACAGGCGCTCACACCACGCTCATGTCTCACGTCTCAGGGAACAATTGTGGCCTCTGCACCGAGGGGCCACGGAGTCTTCCTTTTCAGAAGGGCGACCGACACGCTGCTCTAGAGAAGGGCACAGGCCTGCGAGCAGGAGCCCAGCCTTGGGCAGCACTGACCTTGGGCAGTGGTTTCCTATCTGTGAAATGGCTGTTGTCCTTGGGGATCGAGTGAGGACTGAGCGAACGGGATGGCTCCTGGCCCAGGCCTGCTAGGCCGTCTGCGTCCCTGCACACCCGGCCCTGCTCCCTCCCTTTGCCTCAGGAATCTGCCTGGCGCCTTGGAGAGCGCCCAGTCACCGCTGCCGGCCTCCCTGCAGCCCAAACATCTGGAGAAAAACTGCAAAAGCCACTTCTTCAAAGGGCAGGCCTGTCAGGGCGCGTGGCATGGGGAGAGCTGGCCTGAGTGATAACTGTGCCCTATAGGGATGACAGCCTTCGAGCCCCGCTAAACACCTGAGGGAATGCGGAGGCCAGCAAGCTGATGGAGCCCCGAGGATTCCCCTCGGCCGATGCCTGGAGCTGGGACATGACTGTGAGGTCCCTGTTGGCTTAGAATTCTCTGTGGCGTTCTTGCCTTCACCTGTTTTGTGAGGAAGGGGAAACTCACTGAGCTTCTGGGTTGGGGGAGGCTGTTACTCTCAGACGCTATTCCTTACTGTTTCCAAGCATCAGAATGGGGAAAAGTAAGCATTGCTGATGCCAATTTCATAAGACTGAGGCCAAAGGCAGATTCGGACAAGAAGATAAAATACAGGTCTGGCCAGCGCGGCTGGTAGACAGAGCAGCGGCCTGTAGACAGAAGGGTCCCGGGTTTGATTCTGGTCAAGGGCACATGCCCAGTTGCGGGCTCCATCCTCAGTGTGGGGCGTGCAAGAGGCAGCGATTCCTGATACTCGCCCATCATCGATGTTTCTCTCTCTCCCTCCCTTACTCTCTGAGATCAATAAAAATAGGAAAAGAAAGCACAATTTGCCTGAGAACGTGGAGGAGAGTAAATTTTTGGGGAAAGCGATGGAAACGGGCTCGGGGTGGAGGCTGGGTCAGGGACGGAACCTAAGGCGGCCTGCAGGCCCTGCCTTTGACACGATGACTCAGCAGAACAGAAATGCCAGGCCAAGTGGGCACCCTCCTGGGCCAGGCCGCCTTGCCGCCAGGGCTGAGGGTCCGGGCTGCCCCAGGGTCAGGCTGCGGGCACTCGCCACGGGCATCCTGGTGTGCAGGAGCACTTAGAGGCCCTGGACCGCCGCCTCCCATGGGCTCTGCCCGCCTCCGTGGGGACTCCACCCTTACACCCCCCCCCCCCCCGACCCCCGCCAGCGCTGGGCACGCGAGGGAGCGTCACCACACTGGCAGCACCATGTCATCTAACAAGTGTAACACCAGCAA